CCCCAAAACCCCAAAACCCCAAAACCCCATAGCCATTAAATTGATAATTTAAGGTAAACTAATTAAATTTATGGTTAAAATAAAAAAATTATAATTTAAACAAACAAACAATATTTAAAATCATTTTAAAATATAAACACAAAAAATGAGTGAATCAAGTAAGCCTCCCTCTAAGCCAGCAGTGTCATAGCCTTAAAATCTTAAGGATACAAATAAACTCCGGAATTTATAGATTTTCTATTCTGCATTCTCAGCTCAAGCATTTGCAAAGACATGTGATGCGCCTATTGACAGGGTAAAGAAGCTATTATAGATTCAACATGTCTATATTCGTATTCCATCTGATTAGAGATATAAAGGGATGTTAGACTGTATGTTTAGAGTGTATCGTGACTAAGGTTTGCTATCATTTTGGAGAGGAAATCTCACTAATATAGCATAATCAGCTGTAGGAATATCAATAAACATTATCTTTAAGGAGTATTTTAAGATACTCACTGGAGGAAATATGCTTAGACCTAATCATAGACATTTTGTTCGTAATATGATGGCTGGTGGCTTTGGTGGTGTATTATCACAAATTTTTCTTTATCCATTTTCATTTGTTTAAACTAGACTCCAAGCAGATGTAGGATCATCATCAAGCACTAGAGAGTTTTTTGGGTTTCGAGATTGTGTCAAGAAGCTTTATAGGATAGAGGGTTATTAGATATTTTTCACAGGTCTCACTGTCTCATTGACTGGAACATTTGTTTATCGTTCATTTTATTTTGGTCTGCATGATTTCTTCTGGAATTTCATGTTCTTTGCAAATCATAAGCCAAATATTCTCACCTAATTTAGTATCGGATCAATCGTGACATTCATAGCAGCATTTATTGCATATCCATTTGATATCATAAGACACAGAGTGATGATCCAGTAAGGCAGGACTGAAAAGTTATTCTCATCAGGCATTGAATGTGCGATGTGGACCATGAAAAATGAAGGTCTCATAGGCTTTTACAGAGGCTTATTTGTGCATTATTTAAAGTCATATAATGGAGCAATGCTTGGCTTGATTCTAAATACGAAAATATAAATAAGTATTAATAAGAAAAAGGAGTGATATATCAAAATTCAACATTTGCACAGTCTAATTATTCTTTGCTGTAACACGACATCCTAAATTATACATTTCCAGTGCACTGTGATCATAAATATATTTTGAGTATTTTTCAATCTCTATTTTTCAAGCAAGTATCATAATCATGGGGTTTTGGGGTTTTGGGG